TTCGTCAAAAGCGGTAAGTGTTCGAAACGTCGACAACGTCGGTAGCCACGTGTTGTGCTTGACACTGGACACTTACCATTCGCTGAGAAGAAACTTGCTTGTTCGTCTGCCATGAGTCGTCCGATATCAGGTCATCACCGCAACACCATCTCCCGACAAAACTGGTCTTCATTGTTCGCGTGTCCATAGTTATGGCGAATTCAGGTGGTCAATCGCACAGGCAACGAAAACCGCGCCAGCGGCGCACCACGTGACCCTCTCCACCCGAACACAAAGCGCCTGCAACTGGCGTTTTCGTCTGCCTGGGTCGCGCGTGAACTTCGTTAACTTCTTCCTCGATTATTTTTTGATACAATAGGCACGCTCTAGGCATCAGCAACATATATTCGGACTCTGAGATGTGGGTAAACAAATTGTAATATATTTTGTTTAGATTCTCGAGGAACTGTTGCCATCTTACAAGGATCCTAGAAGGCTCACCAGCGTCGCCATTTTATATTCCATTTTCTTGTTATTACCTTTTTGCTAGAATCCTCAGCATTTTGATTTGACCCAGCTTTCTAAAATAGTAATGCGCGTTCAAGTGTCGAGCTGCAGCACTATCAATACATTTTTTACAGCGGTGTAATAACACGCTGTGTCCCATAGGAAACTGATCTTGCGGAAGTTTCCTTTAAAATATTTTATCTTTATCTCCGTTGTTTTTGCTGTCTTTCTCGGACCACAGAGGGGTGTCTGTCTCAATGGCTTCGTTTTCTACTCGAACACGCTCTCGGCGACCATTGTTTCGTTTGGTTCCCTTTCCCGATTCGGATATGACGATACCGGATACAGTCTGGCAGACAAGCTGCCCGACCTCTTGGAGCTCGGGCAAAAATTGTGCCGGTAAAATTGCCAGCACACGCCTGAGAACTGCCACCCGAACGGCGCGCACTCGCCAGCCTTTGACCACGCGAACGCCCTTGGCGGAGATATGGCAAAATATTTTGCCGGGAAATGACCACGCGAATTCGCCATTAGCAATCACGTCAACTTATAAATTCCCGAACGCTCATAACTTGCCGTCGCTAAACGCCGTTCATTCATAGCGTCTTCATTGCAAATAAATGTCTTCCTATTTCTTCTGATGGTTTTCCTAAGCTGTACTTACAACATTATGCGTGTCGGTACTTCCGAAAATATTGCAACGGCGTTTGTTTTCCGGGAACTATAATGTAACAACCTTTACAACATCTTCCGGACCCCGTGAAACACAATATTTCGTGACGTTATTTTAGTCGTCATTAATATGGTGAGGTAAGTACCGTAAATCGCGAAGCAGTTTACTTGACGTCCACTTCCAGTGGTTGAGTCTACTGAGCGTGCATTCCTGCAGAGGAAATTTTCATTGATAGAATATTGACACGTCAATCAACCTTTGATTCTTTCTTGGTAAGATTTATTGCGAAAGCCCGTTACAACCGCCGAACCGTATGTCCCTATATCAGAGAACAATTTATACCCAGCCTGACATTATCGCATACATCCGTTTGATGGGCCACGCTATTTGAGCTAGTTGAGCATAAAGTCACTTGAGCACAGCTGGCAGCGGCGCGAGCAAGGCCACGAGGGGAACGTGATGGTGCTCGAGCCATCCCACTGTGAACCAATGTTTCGGCCACCCCACTAGAGTGCCTTCATACACACGCGCGCTTTTGCTTGAGTGGTGACATCTCAGCCATTTTTCCACCCAATCGTTCTTTTATGCATTTTGTAGCGCGCGCAATCTGCTGTCACTCAGCTCGAGCGCGTAGCTTTGGCTAATGCATAGACGCCATTTTACCGCCCAAGTCACGCACCGAGTGCGCGAGAGAGTCACGCGCTGGCAGATTCAGGGCAACAATGGATGTCTTCACCCTGAGACAGACAGACATGTAGGCACCCTACACCCCACGGATGCGTGTCGCCATCTACTGGTTGAACTAACGCCTTGTTCAAGATGGCTGCCGTGGGACCCCAGCCTTAAACAGCAACTCCAAACCTCCCACAATCCTCCAGCCCCGTCATCTGATCAGCTAACCACCTCCCCCCCGAATAAGAAACGGGCACTGCCCCCCAATACTGACCCTCTCCCCACATCCTCAGCCAACGCAGAAATAGCCACCCTACGCGCCGAAATAGAAACGGCTTTCGATAACCACCGCCAACACACCTCTGCCCAAATCAATGCAATCCAGGAATCGGTACATTTCCTACATCAAGAAGTCCCACAATAGATGCACCTTGCCGCCCCAGCTACCACACCCCTACCTATAACCCACGAAAATGATCCGGACCTCCAACCCACAATACATCTGGTAATGAAACTGCCGCGGTTTTCGAACTAAAAGAGCCAACCTCCAAGCACACATTGCATCCATACCCAACCCCTCCATCCTCATAGCACTACAGGAAACATACCACTCACCCAAGCTCAAAGACTATGCATCTCACTCCCCATCGGATTTCCCCCAGATAGCCACCCTTGTACATCGCAATATTGCCACCCAGCACGTAACTTTCGCCTCACCGATCCCACATATACTCACCACACTCCAACTTCCCAAATCCCCTGTCACACGCCTGCATGTTCTTAATATCTATAGCCCCCCTAAATCCAAACACATATCCTTCAAATACATCTTCCAGCAGGCACTCGCTTTCACTAAACGTGACCCTCTCCTAATTGTAGGTGACTTCAACGCCCCTAGCTTAGAGTGGGGCTACTATTATAGCACTCGCAAAGGCCGCCTACTCTCTGAACTCACCCATTCCCTGAACCTCACCCTTCACACCGACCCTTCCTCCCCCACACGCATTGGCAACAGTGCCCAGCGCGATACCACTCCCGACCTCACCTTTAGCACCGGACGACTCACCCTTCACACATCCACAACATCACACACACTTGGCAGCGATCACTACATCATCAGCACGTGTCTTACCCTCAAAGGCATCTCCACAAGCCCCCACTTCCACCACCAACACACACAGATTGGGATCTATTCCGTACCGAATGCCCACCCCCACCCACCACCACCTGTGATTCCGACCTAGAACAATGGACGACCCACCTTCTCTCAGCTAAAGAGATTGCAACCAAAACTATCGACCCTCCTCCCCCAGCGGAATATGTAGATACCCACCTCCGTAACCTCTGGGAGGCCTACACCAGCCTAGAGCAGCGCTGGCGGAAACATAAACACCGACGCAACCTTCGCCTCAAACTACAAACTCTCCGCACTAAAATCGAGACGCACGCACTCACACTAGCCAGGAACAACTGGAACAATATTTGCGACAAAATGCGAGGCCAGCTCTCCACTAAGAAGGTTTGGCACATCCTCCGTGCCCTACTGGACCCGCGCACTACTAAGACGCACTCTCGCCACCAAACCACAACAATTATAGCGGAAACTCAGCTCTCAACCACCGCCCTATGCGACGCCCTCCGCTCCATATACATCCCACCTCCATCATCACACCCTGTTGGTCCTCCACAATACACTGGCAACCCCAACCCAGAGCTCGACGCCCCCATCACCTTTGCAGAACTACAAGCGGCGGTGCAAGCCCTCAAACGCAACACCACACCAGGACATGACAACATCACAAACACCCTCTTACGTCACCTCAATGAGGAGGTCCTAGAACACCTTGTACAGCTCTTCAACCAACATTGGCTTAACCACACCCTTCCCTCCACCTGGAAACACTCTGACATCACCCTTATCCCCAAACCTGGAAAAACACCCTCCATACACAACCTTCGCCCCATCTCAGTCACCTCCTGTCTCGGCAAACTTCTCGAACACGTCCTGCAGAATCACGTCAATGCGCACCTTGAATACACAAAAACCTACCCATCTAATATGATCGGCTTTCGACCCAACTTATCCACGCAAGACGCCCTGATACAGTATCATCATGATTTCCACCAACACCCCCCGCAACGAGATCACACATCTATACTCTCACTAGACCTCCAAAAAGTCTTTGACAATATCTCACACCATAGCATCCTTCAGGCAATCTCATCCCAAAACCTAGGCCTACACTTCTACCACTATATCTATAACTTTCTCGCAAAACGTACCGCTACCATCCGTTTGGGCAATGTCCAGTCTGATTCTTTCCACATGCCAGACCGCGGAACGCCACAAGGAGCGGTCCTCTCGCCCATGCTCTTTAACCTCACCCTAAGCCCACTTGCCCGTACTCTCCTCACTATCCCCACACTACGCAGCACACTGTACGCAGATGACATTGCCCTTTGGGTCCACTGTGGCTCCGACCAACACATTGAAGCGACACTTCAACACGGCCTCAACCAAGTCCTTCATCACATCGAACCTTTGGAGCTCCGATGCTCCCCACACAAATCCGCTCTCCTCACCTTTACGCCGCCTCGTCACAAACCCCTCCAAACCCCCCCCCCCATCCAACTTTTTATACACTCTGACCCAATACCACACGCACAACAAGTTCGACTTTTAGGCCTCACCCTCACACACAACAGATCACCCGCACCCACCCTCCAATACGTAAAGAAATATGTTACTCAAACCTCACACCTCATTAGAAGGATCGCCACTAAACACCACGGCATCAAGGAACAGGACCGCCTCCGACTCGTCCATAGTTTTCTACTCAACCGTATCCTATACCAGCTACCCTACCTTAACCTTACACCCACCCAACTCGACTCCCTTGATGCGCACCTCAGGAAGACATATAGACATGCTCTCCTACTCCCCCCTCACGCCCCAACGCACCGCCTGCTCGACCTCGGCATACACAACACAATACACGAACACCTAGACGCCCACCACATGTCCCAACTCACCCGCCTCGGATCCTCACCCACAGGGCACTACATTCTTAACACTATAAACACACTCCCCCCCACCATCCCAATCCCCCCACTCCCCATTCCACCGCACATACGTAACCGCATTCGAGACCACCCAATCCCTCGCCACATGCACCCAACTTTCCATAAAGCCCGGCGACTAGCACGAGCCAACATCCACGCCAAACTATACTCACCATCACCATGCACACTATACATTGATGCCACACCCTACCCTCACAAACCTGCACACTGTGTAGCTGTTTTTGGCCAACATCCACCACCAAACGTCACGGCGGCCACCATCCTCACTACAAACACAACCACGGCGGAGGAAGCGGCCATTGCCCTCGCGCTCGCCCAGAGCCCCACCCCCCAATTCGTCCTATCTGATTCTCAGCAGGCCATCCGCAATTTTATTCGCGGCAATATCTCCCCCATGGCCTTCCAAATTCTCACCAACAACCCTCCATCCGACACCGTGACCCTGCTGTGGACACCAGCCCACACAGGCGTAGGCGCTAATGAGATGGTGCACGATCGTGCTCTCGAACTTATCGACCGAGCCGCCGTTTCAACTGCGCCTACACGCGATGCCCCTGCAGGCAAGCCTACCTCCCTCCTGCAGTACAGGGATATTACCCTACACTACCGCCTCCTCCGCCGCCAATACCCACCTCCGCACCCCCACCTCTCCCAAGAGGCAGCACACATGCTGCCCCTCTTACAAACACACACTTTCCCCCACCGAACACAACTAATACACACTCACCCACACCTCTTTACCACCCCCGCCTGTCCTGCCTGCGGGGCATTCGACACTCATGACCATTCCCTTTGCGAATGCCCCGCAGACCCATACCCCCCTCTTCCCTCCCCTCACCTCTGGGAGCAGATGTTGCGCGACCCGGAGGAGTCAGCCCAAGTCCTGACCACCTCCCGGGCCCTGGCAATCGCAGCGGCCCTCTGGGTTTCCACCACCCCCAATACCTGATCCCGGAAGAATAATAAAGTTTCCTCCTCCTCCTCTCGAACACGCGCGGACCGTCGTCAAGGGGCCCGGGCTTTGTGCTCGGCAGTCGTCGTTCGTCGCATCGCACTGTCGCGCTGCTACTGCAATACGCAGTCGCATTCCACAGATGACAAGGAAAAGTTTGACTCGTTGACGTGGAAGGATCGCAACGCTGGCTTCGGAATCGGGATCCACGGGAAGAAGGAACACGTGTCCCGCAAACGCATGCCTGCAGACGGCCCGGGAAGCAGACGAGCCGACGCGCCGACGCATTACCCCCTAGCAACAAGCTTGCGGGGAGAAAACATAGTTCGCTGGTTTAGGAGCGATAATTGCGGACTATGTTTCCCGCACCACAATCAGTTTACGTTTTTCTCAAACTCTAATTTACAACACGCTTAAAAGTGTTGCAATAATAACGTTCGCATTCACCGCAAGATGCAGCATTTCCATTGGTCAAGTTTTTGGCGATGGGCAGGGAATGGGGGATTGTCTTCGAAGAGAAAATAGTCCCGATATATTTCTTCTGCCATCTGCTTAATAAACGGTTTTGTTATCTTAAACATTGTATACATATTAACTTGCACCTACTACGCAAAATAACAACATAACCAGACGATCGCAGAAAGCTCCGGAGGGCCCCTTTAGCGAGGTATGGACAACAGCATGCCTCCCGGAAGACTGGAAGAAGGTCATCGTCGTGCCACTGCTCAAGCCCGGCAAACCGTCAGACCAGCCCAACTCCTACCGTCCGATAGCTGTCACGTCGTGCGTCGGGAAGCTCCTCGAGCAGATAATCCTCTGCAGGCTGGTGCACCATCTCGAGACGGTAGGAGCTCTGCCAGAGTGCTACGCAGGATTTCGACGCGGCAGATGCACAGCGGACGCCATCGCTGACCTGGTCACAGCGTTGGAGGACGGCAAGGCCCGACACCGAACAACAGGTGTAGTTCTTCTCGATATCTCCAAGGCCTTCGATGCCGTTGAACACAACAGCATCGTGACAGAGCTAAAAAGACTGGGAATCGGTGGCCGAATGCTTGCCTTCATCCGCGCGTTCCTGGAAGGCCGCGAGGCACAAGTGAGCGCTGCGGGTGTCTGCAGATGGTGAGGCGTATGACACGAGGGGTACCGCAAGGCAGCGTACTGAGCCCGCTGTTGTTCAGTGTGGCGTTGGCGGCGCTCCCGCAAGCAGCCCGGATAGGCGAGCGGACGATCCGCCCAGTGCACATGGCGGTTTACGCAGATGATATTGCCATCTGGGCGGCCGACCGAGGCTGCTGTAGAAAAAGCGTCCAGAAGGAACTGCAGAGAGCTCTGGACAACATCTACCATTTTCTAACGACACTGGGCCTCACACTCTCCGCGGCAAAATCGGTAGCCCTGCTCAATGCGCCACGCAGGATGTACAAGTTCACATTGTCTCGACAGATTGCAGGGGCCACAGTACCAATAGTAAAGCAAGCAACATACCTGGGCCTGAAACTAGATGACAGAGTCTCGTGGCAACCAGCTGTGAGCACAGTCCTCAACAACAACAAGAAAACGACGTCCATCCTTCGCATCCTTGAAGGGGTACGAAGAGCCGCCCCACAACGCATGATGCTCCCCTCCTGGACCTCAACCACAGGCAGTGGGCAAGCTTGGAAAGGCCACAAAGAGTGGCACTGCGCATATGTCTAGGCGTCCCACGGACGGCATCATCGTGTCACTAGTAGAATCGGGAACAAACACAGTACAAAATGCAGCGACAGAGCGGGCTCTACGACACCTCAAACGGATGCAAGAAACTCCCAGCACAGTATCACTCATGAAGAACATAGCGACTCGCCGTGCACATCTTGCGACACTCGTCAATCTCCTTGAAGAAATGGCTGGGTGCCCAAACACCCACATTACACTTCCACCGCCGCCCAGTGAGCCTCCCACAGTGAGGATCGAAATGAATATCGCCCAGATGGGTCCGAAGAGAGTAACCCCAGCGACAGTAGCGTATCAACACACATCACAGCACATCGACGTATTCTACCACGGATGGACACGGACATTCACAGATGGGTCAGTGAAAGCACAACGAAGAACAGCTACGGCTGCGGCAATCTCGGAAGGACACAGCAGAATGGGGAAGCTGAGCTTTCATGCGTCATCCACAACAGCCGAGCTGGCAGCCCTCCGCCTGGGACTGGCAATGACGGATGGGAAACAACCGGGGAACCTGGTTTTGCTCACGGACTCTAGGGCGGCGCTAAGACTCCTGGAGAAACCCGACAGGGCATTTGCACTCGCACGGGAGGTAATGGCCAAGGCTCAGAATCTCCAAAAGGGAGGATGGACGATTGCCTTTCAGTGGCTTCCATCTCACTGCGGGATTGAGGGCAATGAAGCAGTTGACGGCCTCGCGGACCGGGCCCACGACGAGCCAAACTGCCCCATTTCTGAGGTCCCCGCTTTCGCAGACGCTCGCCTATTGACGCGGCGAATTATCTCTGCACGCAATCCGGAGCTCGAGAATGGACTCCTAGCCGCTGAAGTTCCCGGACGCCTGACGAGAAACGAGACGGCCGTCCTTCACAGGCTACGCACCAGAAGAGCCTTCACTCCCGCCTACCTGGCAAAATGGAAGGACCACCGAGATGACGCATGCGGTAAATGTAGGGTAACCGCCGACGACGAGCATCTTCTGTGTGTGTGCCCCCTATACAAAGAAGAGCGGGATGAACTAAGACAAACCTACTCCGCCCTCGGACGCCCAATTGACACCCTGGAAGCGCTGATTAGGCCCACAGCAACAGCTGCCAAGGCGGAAAGAATGCTAACAGCGCTAGCCAAATTCTTGAGTCGCACGCGGCTATGCGACCTAATATGGCGACACTACTGACGTTCCAGGATGATCTAACCGCCTAGGAAGATGGACATAGAACCTCACTCCCGAGTGCTAGTCGCCATACGCAGGGACAGTCCGGCTTTTCCTCCGCCTAGCCGAACAATTGCACTGCAGCCCATGATACGCCTGATCCATACACGACAACGATGATGAGACTATGACTGTCACACTCTCTCTTTTATATTCTTCATTTCTTCTCTTCTTTTATCCTTTTCTCCCCTCCCCCTCCCCCTCCCCCCTCAACGGTGACCTACGGGCCTGCATGGTCGCGCAACCCATCGTTGTTTTCTACAAAATAAGTAAAGTAAAGCTAAACAAAAACAACAACAATCCTTTGCTGACGTCAAAGTCAGCATTCGGCCAATCGGGGGGGGGGGGGGGGGGGGGACCAATTACCGCGACGCTTTCGATCGGTCACGTCACCAATAGCGGATCGGCCTAAACGCGCTGCTTTGTATCGACTGCGTGGGTGCGTTTCTAACGGCGGAAGGTGTTCCCGCGCTACTTGCCCAATTAGAGAACGAGAAGCAGCAGTAAAACACGAGAATAATAGGAAGTTTTATGATACTCTTCAAACATTTGATTTCGAAAACATTATTTTGATAAAAAATATAATTAAAACGGCGGTAATAGCACAGAGCTTTGCATGATTCAACGGAGAGGAGGCGGAGGGGCTGGAGAACTTCAACCAAAGGCGGCGATGGCGCCCTCTAGTAGCATCCACAGAAAGAGTAACCCCTCCGCCCTGCATGTGGGCTCACTACTCTTCTCTAGTTCACTGTACCGATGCTGAAGAAACGACGCGAGCCGGGTGCCGCTACCCTATAGTGACGAAACTGGGTCATCTTACAAAATAAAGTAAAACGGAGAAAAAAAAACGACACAGAAGAAACAAGGAAGGCAAAGAAACGGCGCTGTTTCGCCTTGCTAAGAAAGGTACCCGCTTGTTGAATACGGGGAAAGTCTATAAGTCTCAGAACATGAAATCGAACTCACCCCGAAAGCTCGCTGAACCCGCTGAACCACTTTCAGCGCCTGGCAAAATAGTAGGAAAACAATGAACCGCCACCGTCGTCGCAAGCGCAACGTTTCGCCGATGGGCGCGCCCAGGGAAACAGGACCGGAGACACAGTCTTTTTGCAAACTGACACTTAGTCTCATCCATTGGATCTGCAGTCTTGTCTGACACAAAACTCGAGTAACCATGTGTGGATTGCCCCTGCACCATGTGTACACTTACGTTTTTCTGAGCCTTGCTGAGGTGTCACCTTGCTAGAAAAATCAACGTGGTTGGACCTACAGCCACCTTGGGAGCTACTGACCAGGCACAATATGTTAATGACAGCTTCTTCGACCTTCCTCGTAGTTATGCACACTGCAGGTCATGTTCACATTTTTGTGCAATTGCTGAGATGGATACAAGAGCTGTCACTTTGGGCCACTGGAGCCAGCACAATTCACCATGATCACAGTGTAGCGAAGCTGCAACCACGGACCATTAGTGGCCACGAGCATGAGACTACCGACGGCACTCACGCATCATACATGTCCTGACATAGGTTCAAACCACGTATTATGGAGATGAATCCAGACTGTTTTTTATGCCTACCACTTGGTGGTGGTGGAGGCTGCCATCTGTGCTGGGTCCTCACTAGCACCCTTGGCCACAGCAGATGAGTCCTGCATAATTCAATTAAACACAAGTTAACGCACAACAGATGGACACCCTTTCTGGTTATGCGTTGATGTAATGCACCTTAGGTATCGGAGTGCCTCATTTACAGGTCTAGAGATATTGACCCGTGAGCTTGAGCGCTACGATCCCAGCTTTCGAAGAAACATTACGAGGCAGCACACTCGCGCAAAGTCAATAAGACCAAAAACACGGTGTCTGTTCACTACCATTAGGCAGTTTTAGCAAACCGTTACCGCATTCTGCGGTGGCCGCGGTACGGCTGGTAAGGCTTTAGGCGCGCGCTGAAAAGGATGTTTTAAAGTTACAGCGCGAGCTCCCAGTCGCAAGTCCGCTGCGCACGGCAACGCTACGCTAAAACCGCCCATTACGGTTCCCAGGGTATTTCCAAGCACTTACCGACACTGCAGCCTAGATGGCGTGCAGGGACGGACGAGGCGTGTCCGCCCTCGAAATCCTGCGCTTTCTCCCGCGTCCTTGCGAGGAATCTTCTCATTGGGGCCAGCATTCTGTCCTACTCCCCGAGTTCAGCGACGACACTTGGTTCACGTCTTCCACCGGACTGCTGTGTGGCAATCGCGACGTGACAACCTGTGAAAAAGTTCGACTGGACAGCTAAAATTCCAAAAGTGAGGCAAAGCTCCTCACAGACACGAGGGCACTTCACGCTCGACATTACGCCGTCGGCCATAACGATTCAACGCGATCGCGATGCAGCTCACGCGTTGCGATCATCTAAATTGTGTCACTTATGTAAAAAGACGTGATTCATGGGACCTAAACTTGACACCGGTAATTGTATAGGATGCTTCAAGTCACCAGGCTCGATCTAAAATGAACCTTAAAAATCTACGCCTGCACGTAGCCATCTAAACTTTTCGTCACAGGTTATTTCACGCGTCGGTTTTTTCTTGTAAAACTGCAGAGCGTAGTTCTCTTTTAGTAAAAGAATAGGGCCAAGAAACTTGCCAGGATCTACGGCGGGCGGTGACCCAGACGACCAAGTCCAGCAGCGGGCTGTGCTTGACGTTCGTATTGATAGATGGCGTCGGGAGCAGTGTCTGAAGGTGCAGCAGACCAGCGAAAGATAGCAGACGACACGCAGACGAAATCCGTTGGCAGCAAAAGCGCCGCCGTTATGCAGGCGCGTTTCTTTTTTTCTTTTTTTTTTTGCTTTAAGTTTTGCTTTTATTGTTCGCATTCATTTCTTAAACGAAGGTACATTTCAAAAAGATTATATTATTTTAATAAACCACGGTGGTCGCGAGCCGTCGCGATTAGGAGGTAGTTCCATCTATCAATACGAACCTCAAACACACCCCGCTACTAGACCCCTGTCGTCTGCGTTGCTGCCCGCCGTAGACCCTGTCAAGTTTCTTGGCCTTATTTTTTACAGAAACAGAGCCACGCTTCGTAATTTTGCAAAAACAAAAATGACCTCTGAAATACACCTTTGATGAAAAGTTTAAATGGCTACGTGCACGCGTCGATTTTTACGGTCCATATTAGATCGAGCTTGGTGACTTGAACCACCCTATATTTATATTGTACCGAATTCTACATTTTCAAAAATTAAAAATGTTGCTTTTACAAGACCTTCCAATGTGGCGTTGCGCGTTTCCCTCTAGGGACATTTTTTGGGCACACATCCCGATCAAGTTACAACTCAATCGCCACTCTTCGTCGACGTCATCAACGCACCGCGATGAAGTTCCCTGCCAGTAGACCATTTCCAATAATCCCAAGCGCCCCAGCCCGCACTCAAGAAATCATAAGAACGGTGTTCCTTTAGCTTGGAAAGAGAAATTTATTTACAAGTTGGGACAACGGTACACAAACAAAACGAAGAAACGTAAGGCACAAAGAGGACGCACGCGAACCTAAATAACAACTAGAAATCGATTTCCGGGAGCGATACAAATATGTGCAGTGCTTATCCGGGCACGGACGGCGAAAAGGGATCACAGGCACATAGAAAATAAATAGCAAGTAGACTAGAACGGCTCCAGCCGCTGCACTAGGGAAAGGTGCATGAAAACATAATTAATCAAGGCACCACCAAACTTGTAGCACCACTCTGCGGCCAGCAACGTCAATGAAGCCTGCATGCCACCTCCGGAGAAACTCCTCCTCCACAAGGGCAAAAAGTGCGTCCTCGAGGTGGGAGAGGAGCAGTGTCCGGAGCCGTCGCAGCAACGGGAACAGAGCGAGACTGCGCTGGCGGCCCACGGAAATGTTCCTCTGTTGCCACAAGACGTAGCAGGTGGCGGCAAACGCCAGACCCGCACTCCGGTGTCTAGCGTGGAATTGTCTGCTCAGTGGCAGCGCAAAGATGCGACTCACAAGAGTCCAAAAAGTTTTAGCTACAGCGCACTTAAACACCGCGTGGGTATTGGTTTCAACTTGCTTACAGTTGACACAGAAATTGGAGTTAGCGACACCCCATCGTGCTAGACGGTCACGGGTATACGTAGAACGCCCCACCCAAGCCGCCAATGAAAGTCTGCAAGGCCAGGAGGGATGTCTGGGGAGAAAGCGCTGGTCCAGTTTGCACTCCGACTTCGATCCCGGAGTAGAAGGGGCACCTCCGGCTCACAAAGGGCCTCACAAAGACGTGAGATAGGTACCTCACAGACGTCACGGTCAGGTGTGGCCGTTTGTAACTGCTGGTAGACCTGAACTACCGTCGCGTAGAAAGACAATAGGGACTCCGCCGTCGGGCACGAGTTCCCTAGCCCCCGAGGCACCAGGACGCGACGGTGGGTGCTGAGCCAGTAGAGCGTCAGGCTTCGGCCGGGATAGTCAGGGGCGTCTAGGATGTCCAGGACGTTCCGAAGGGCAAGTAACCGGCTGAAAGTGAGAAGGCAGGGGATGCTCAGGCACCCATCAGAGCACGACATTCGAAGGGCCAAGCGAGTGACCAGCTCAGGGCGCCCCTCCCAGAGGAAGGCAAAAATCACGGAGGTTATGCGCCGGACGACAGACGGAGGTGGGAGAGCGACCCATGAGGCGTGCCACAGTCGGGCGCACAGCACCGACTTCACGATATAAGCTGTATCGCGCTGGGGCAGGGAGAAACGCGAAGCAGCAGGGGCCTTGTGCACGACGTCTGTCGCAATGCTGTTCCATGTTTCTGCCGACACACCAGAGCAGTCAAAGAGAACACCTACCCAGAGGGCAATTTATGTCCCTAGGACATCCCACGTTCGTTCCGCTTCGGACATTTAGAAGTCCACCGGATGTCCATTTACCTCCGAATGACATTCATCGGATGTCCATTGGATCATCCGATGCAAAAACTCTGAACGTGGCACGGTTCATCCATGGGACGTCCAAAGACGGATGTACGGACATTTGGCGGAACACCCAGCGAATGACCCCCTGTGCAATAATATTGCATTTTCTTTAGAAAACTATTATTACATGCCATATGTCAAATATTAATATAATTATTGTTTGTTCTTTTTGCGCTCATGCTTGGTGTAGTACTACTGTCGAGTTATCTATCCGTACTATATATGGAAAATTCACATAAACGTGGTTCGATCATATCATGCTCTAGTTTATTTCTGCATTAAATTCACACCACTGCTTCGCTTCAGCTGGGTTTGCGTGCACACCTATCAGTGAAGCGTAGCACCGGAGTGAACGTAATGTGTAAACAAACTAGTCCATGATATCATTGGAGCATGTTTATGTGAGTTTTGGATAAATAGTGCAGACAGATAACCTGACAATAATACTACACCAAGCATGGGCTCAGAAAACTAGACCAAAAGTAGGTTCAGTATTTGCTTTAGTAAGCTAAATTGTGACAGTATGTCTGCAAGTAAACTAAGAGAAGTGGAATTTCTCTTGAACTTTAATTGCATACACAATGAATGTACCTGGTCTTTGCTATGCGCCTTCAATAACACAAATATAAAATAAAAAGATAAATAAATATAAACGTTGGCAGAGCTAGAAGACTTAGCTAAAACAAGTAGAACCAATACCTAAAAAATGCACAAGTTCAACGCTGGCTGGCTTTTCCAAATTCTCGTTCTGGGGCATGTCTGAGCCATGACTTTGTTGTGACTTCAACATCATCCTTTGTTGATTGTGTAAACCTCTTGTTTACTGCTGCTGGAAGAAAAACAGTATAAAAGCAAATATAAGTACGGCCTCGCTAGAACCACTGTACCCTTCAAGGGCAGTATGAGATTGGAAAGAGAACAATATATTCTTTCATCTGGTGTTTAAAAGTGTATGGAAACAAAATTCTTGCACCTATTTTATTGTTCAATGTCGTCTAGGCAATGACATCTGCTCGCAAAGAAAAATGTTCTGTTGAAAAGGACAAGAAAACAAATGATGAAACGAACTAAACGATTATCGAAGGGCACCTGGTTGATGTTTAAAAACAGTGTTGTATGCCATGACTATGAACCCTGTATTAGGGCATTGCTTATGACATATGGTTAGTGCCCCTCTGTGGAGGTATGGGTATACCCGTGGAAGTCGCCAACGCCTGAACGCAAAGTTTTGGTCGAGAAAGCCAATGTAGAGCTAGCCACGATGACCCCGTTAGGTTGATCGCCCCGGTTGACCCAATGGCCTATCGGTAGTCTGCTTCGGTGTGGCATTTACTTTGTTGGAAGGTTCAGAAGTGAAGAGCTTCTGTGGGTTTTAATGCCCAGATGCCGCGCGATTGTGTGGCAGATTACTGTAATAACTGCATGCCACATCGCGAGCTGCCAACGCGTTAATTTCCGAGCAACAGATGTGTCTGGCACATCTGTCGTTTTTCATGTGGATTCCGACAACAAATGATCGCTTGTGCTCTGACCACTTTCGTGATGAGGATTACGAAAAGAGCCCCAGGGCCATGAAGTGTTTCAGTCCGACTCTGCAGCCGCGGCAGTGTGGGCGGGCAGTCCACCATTGTAGTCAGTGCTGTGGCATTCGGCTGGTTTGGCCCTCAGATGTCTCAAAGGGCCGAGTTGTGATGCACTGGCGCCACCGAGTGGTAAAGCTGATAATTACGCCAGCCTCTGTAGCCTTGCTCGTGCTGTATGGGATGCTGTCACGGGTGTGTCGAAGACCCCCAAGACGCATTGCACTCTCCGTGGCTGCTCTTCGAGCGCTTGCTAGAGAGGGCCGTTTAGAATGAAAAATATTGCCATCCACTAAAAATAAAAATGTGTGATTGTCATACCCGGGTAGTAATGATCACATTTATCCTACTTTTGAACTTGATAGTGATATTTCAATTTCCGTTTCAACATCCCTTTAAGCTGGGAAGTAATAGTACAGTAATGAAATTAACATGTTCAGAAGAAAACATAATGTACATTTCTCTTTCAGGGGTGTATTTTTAGTTCTGATTTCTCAAATTTAGCGGATTAAAATGTTTGCCCAAAATTGCTACCTTATCCACTCTGGCACTCATTATGTTTCTTTTGATCATATTTCTCTCTCCCAGGGTAAGAGTAAGATAATTTTTCACCTGCAAACAGAAACCTTAAACAACTGTGACATAAATTTTAGTAATGAACTTCAAGGAATTAAACAACTGACACTAACCACACATGAGTTGACAAATACGAAGCTTGCAGGACTTCTTCTCCTTCTTTCCCTCCCAAGAGTACTCGGCTGCTAGTTTATCAGTCAGCAGGTAGGCGAGCATCCGCTTGGTTGCGGTGTTGGGGTTTCGTCCACCAAGTTGAATTAGTTCCTTGACCTGGAAATTTCAGATGCCACACAAATTGGGTGAAGCATTTCGGCAGAGCACAGCCTATGAGAGTTCCTTTACAACCTATGAGAGCGATTCTCTAAAGGGTCCATTTTAAAAATACAAGACAGAAATAAGCTGTATCTATAATTCCTTCTCCTCAACCTTTTCACATAGCAAGCTGCAACCGGAAGCTTTGGAGTCTGATGTGTGCGAACTTTAAGACACTCTTTATTTTTGTTAGTTCCTGCCAATTTAGTAAACCTCAGTCTTCACAAAACTAATATTTCTTGAAATAATTTGGTTGCACCTCAACACTTGGGAAGGAACATGCTAAAGAACTGCTAGCTATGTTTTCTATTTTACATACACAGGTGGCATGAACAACACCTAAGGGCCCACAGCTATCAGCTCAAGTCTATGTTATGTAAACGTGGACGCACCAGAAGAGCTTCGTCAGATGCGCTGAGATCTGCCTCGATGTTGGAGAGACCATCGGCTGTGTCGAACGGTTGCGGTACAACCGGATTGGGTGCAGCAGTAGGCTCGCTGGAGGCGGTGAGAGCGTCAAGCGTGCTGGCAACTTGCTGCAAGATCAGTTTTATAACATTGAGTAGCCTTAACACTTGGCCCTGAAATTCTGAAGAATAAATCAAAATTACTTATTAGCAAGGTTGTGAAGTACCTAGGCACAAGTAGCTGGGTATTGGTAACTACCGTTAAGTAACGATCAAGCGGCGCTCATTCAAAATTCGGAGATAACTGCAAGAAAGTGGGGGATGGGCACTTGTTAGATCACAGATTTGATCTACTTCGCATATTTTTTCAGGTGCCACAACACTTAGGAATGGCCGCTTAGTGTAGAATGGGCGGATGCTTGGTATTTTACGGTAGGCAGTATTTGTATATCTCAAGTACAAATGTAGACGCTTTTATTTCTTGGTAACTAACTGTATCTTAGGTACACTTTCTAGTAAATTGTAGCTATCGCATGCTACTTTTTTGCAAGTACATTTCTGGAATTCCTATTAAAATTAGAAAGTGTTCCAACCTGCAAAAGAGAGGTCAGTGTGGAGGAGTCATACGAAGACAGGCTCAGGCACTTCCCAACATGAGCATTTTACCCCAAGCAAAGTGGACAGTGAAAACCATAATGTTGCTGGTGTAACATCTGGGTAAAGCGTTCTTGTATGAAGCATTCTGGGATGAGGAGGGCAGTCTGCCTATGCTGGTCGCGCAAGCTTCATTAAAAAAAAAAAACTTAATTCGCCCATTTGGCTGCTGCTTCCCGCGATGATAGAGGATGTTGGGGGACGTCACAGTAAGTTGGAGACGTTTATTGGTAAAAATGGCGGAATCCATATGCGCTCTTCCCCTTTCTCAGCAACCCGACCGCGTTTTTTTTTTTTTAATAATATGCCGGCTTACCTTTTTGAGTTTGAGGTGGGTTTTGCCTGAAACTACCGGCGGAGCAAAAAGAGTGACGAGATAGCTGTGCACACCATAGCACATGTTGTGCGTCCTCCATAACCTCCATCAATGACCTCATTGAAAGAGGTTATAAACACTCAAAATGCCTGCATGTACAGCATTTATACCTCCATGTACATAAGACAAACAAAGGGGACATATAGAGCACATAGAAATGTTATGGTCCACTTCCTCATTTCTGAACATGATGTTAAGACATGTTGACAGCACACATTAAAAAAAACTTGCACATTTAGCATGACAAGCCTACTGCTTGAGCCAGGAAACAGGATGCTGGATAAAATAAGAAATATCGTAACTCACCACGCTCTGGCAAGACAGTGGGCCCAGGGCATGGAGTTTTTGTCCTGGAATGTTACAACAGGTGTGATCAAGACAAAGCTTCGGCTTACATCAGAAACAGCACTTAAAATATGCAAGCATTCCGACTGGCGAGAAAAGGCTAACAGTGTTACCAGAGTATGCCTGCACCCCGACTTGAGGTGTTCCATGTGGCGACGGGTTAGCCAAGGCTTGTCCTGTGTTATTAGGGTTTGCATGCATCGAAAAGTTCCGTTGCCTTACTCGCGACTCTCACAGTTATCTTCGAAACTTGTGAGCAACTTACTTGGTCTTGGTGATGCTGCGCAGCAAAAAAAAATGATTTCATTTCCTTGTTTGTTTTTTAGACGTTATTAATCTATATATCAAGTTATTCACACTCAAACAAGCAATTAATAAACATCTCACTATGAAAGTTCAATGGGACCGGCATTTGTGAGCATGGCAGCAGAAAAGACTTAAAAACCAGAAACATATCAACGAGGTTCTACTGTATTAAGCACTGTCAATTAAAAATTATCAAGAAAATGTATGCTATTTATAGCATAACATGCTATAAATAATGTATAGCATAACCTACTTTCTACTCACGTCTTCCATGCTGGTTCAAAATTGGGGACTCCACACGACATCCATCAGAGGTAACACAGGCTGCACATCAGTACAACAGTGATCAAAACCAAAAAGTTTAGTGTTGCACGACCAGTATTTTGTTCAAACCTTTTGATATAAACACATGAAAGGCTGACACTTTAAGTGGCCACAAATTATCAGAAAATTATAATTACAACTATAAATATCTATCTTCATCGGTTACCTTCCCGGAAAGAGCTGCATGCCGTCAGGAAAAAGCCCTGTTGTTGAAAAGGCTCCATGCCTATTAAACACCGGGTGTCTATACCCGTTTTCACCTCAAGAAAGAAACAAGTTTTGCGCATTGTTCATATGCAGCACGAATTAGTTCTTACTAGATTTGGTTGTCGGAGGAAAATGCGATGCGTTGGGCGTTTGGAATGTGTATGGCTTGATAAGATAACATAAAACTAATCTACAAAAAAAAAGATTTTTATAAACAGCCTAATTGGGACAAGCATGTCACAAAACAAATCTTACACAAAAAAAAACAATTTTCTGTAGCAATATTTACGCTTCAGGACGTAATTTAGTTGGGGACACAATTTCTCCACATTTGAAACTCCCGCTTTTTCGACGCGCGCGGAGTGGCTGCTATACGTCACTCCGTGACGTAGAATACCAACTTTGTGGCGCGCAGTTTAAAACGGACGAAACAGCCGCAAACTATAATCAGTCTGGCGCAATAAATATTGCTGTAAACGGTTTTGTTTTTGGCGGAAAAATTGTTCTGTGACATGTTTATCCTAATTAGGGTGTTTAAAAATACACTTTTTTTCTTTGCAGTTACCCTTTAATTCTCTACATAAAGGGGGAAATCAGTAATGCTCTGCAAGAAGCCTGACTTTTTTTTCCTATGGTTCTTGAGGTGAAAACAGGTATAGCAAATTTTTATTTTGAAATTCTGACTTTTTCAGGTTTTCCCTGTCAATTCCAGGTAAAATTCTCTGACCACTGTAGAAGCACTTAAATATATATCATTACAGCACAAGGCATAGACAACTCAGCACTATGAGTATCATTTTGCACGGGCTTAATCCAACTTGCATATTCCGAAACATTTGGGTTCGTCCAGTCCAGAATAAACGAGCACTTTCTTGCTGCCGACATCGTCAGTGAAGATACCACTTCCGGAAACACTGCGCTCAATCACATGTCAATAACCAAATGTCAGCATGGCCGCTAGATGCACACTTTCGGCTTAAGGCTTGGAGTAGGATCTGCGGCTTTTCCATTCGTTACTATATCTAGTAGTTCTAACTGGATCTGGCCTACTGTCGCGCCCTAAATCCAATCCGATTCAAGGCCTGGACTGGATTTGTCGACTGTTTCCTTTGGATCGGGTAGCACACCCTACATCGAGTGAGCAGAGCCAGCGCTCCGCTCTAAGAATTTATTGCCTATTTTTCTGCCCCCGAGTCCAAGTCTTTGCTCAGGACACTTGATGGCTTTTGCGGCTAATTTTCCTTCACTGGGCTTGCTTTTTGATAATATTCCTGACTATTCCCTGATTTTTCATGCTTAGGTATGTTGATAATTAGAATTTCCCTGGGAATTCCGGGTGCTAGGCACTCTGATACATTACATAATCAAAACCAATGTGGGAAGCTTTGAGTGACATCACATAGCTTCAGGCAGGTACCCTGGAATTAGAATTGAACTGTGATAGAGCTGTGACAATATACCCCAGGCTGTCAAGGTTTTTCACTGGACAAGGGGTATTAAGAACAAACTTGGAAGTGAGCGCATGTTGATGCGCTTGCACTACTGCAAATACACAATCGTTTATCCTTTTCCTGTTGAGCAACATTGACAACACTGTACATAACAACAAAACACCATGAAACCTGCTAGAGTATGGAAGATACATAGCACAAAAGAATGTTGTTACTCTCACTTGTCTCCTGAAGTGAGGTTGTTTCCATCAAGTGTCTCCTGAAGTGAAGTTCTAAGGTCTATAGCTCTACAACAGCATAGATATAACTACCGTTTTCTAGACAGCATGGCTTCAAATTGGAAAAATCGACACTGTTATTATGCAGTCTCACCCCGAGGAAAGTCCGTTGGAACTTCAGGGGGCAAAGTGCCTGCACTGTCTTCTGACCACAAGCTGCTGCATGTATCATCAGTAGGGTCCCATCTTGTAGCTGGTGTCCTCCTCCGTTTCTGAGGTGGCTCATCTTCGCTTGCCAAGTCGGACGTGTATTGACTCTTGTCCAGCTTCCTTCTAGCTTCATCGTACGAAGCTGCACATGCAAAAAAAATATAATCAAACAGTGTCTGTACTCAAAACGGCTGCTAGAAACATTGCCAAAACATGCTATTCCATGCCTAAAGTGACTTATCCAATGTAGAATGAAGTTCCAGCAACACCACGGTGAGCATTTATCATTTTACCACAATACGAAATAGTTTCAGCAGTGTGAAACAAATTATAGATGTCATAATACATTTATGGACTGCTGTGTGTCAATACAGTGACATGTCTTCTTCATGGTTGACCACCAATGATTCTGAGAAAGAGGGTTATCAATTCCAACTTTTATGTGCTCGCCTTGGGGATTAGGAAGTTTTCTAGTGTAGTATTATCATATATATATATATATATATATATATATATATATATATATATATATCATAGAGTTGTCCCTTATACACCAATACGTGCCTCCAACGTCACTCCTCTGAAGTGGTGCTTCCCCAGGTACTGTGCCCACACTTCTCACCTCCCAAAAAGCTTCTGCATATGTGCGTGCGCACACCCAGCATTCGTAAACAGCGCGCTCGTCTAGAAAAGTTATGTCTTTATGCTAAAGCATGAATCCACTTACCAAAAAGTCCTTTGACCTGAACCTCATACCTCTGCCAAGGCAATGAGGATGAACAGGGGCTGTTTTTCTTCACCATTGTGTTCAGTTTATCAAGCGGAACTTTTGGCCACATGCAAGTGCTTCCACTAATCCAAGAACATGGCACAACTTCTATTTCGTTCCGACCAACAAAATCTGCAATAGCATATGCCATCTGAAAAAAAAATAAACATATGAAAGCCCTTTATCAGTCTTTTCACAAAAAACAGATTAAATTATGTCTAAATAACACAAAAAAACAACCTTCAATTATCAGTCACAGGGAGTAATTTATTTCACTGGCACTTCAGTAGTACGATGAAAATTTAAAGCACCAAGAGTTCAGTCAGTATGAATTTCTGGAATTACCACAAACTTGCTGGAATAGGGCAGCATGAGCATCTTCTTGGGGCTCTTCAAAGGCCATAGAAGTCTTCTTTGCAAAGAAATTCCTGTCCAACAACACATGCTTCATTTGAGTCTTTCATATAGGCAAAGGCCTGAAAAACAATGATGTGTCCATCAACTATAATGCCGTTATCACCAGTTTTTGTACTAACAATGAAGTCTTTGCATTTGGCCACACTGAATTCATGTCCTGTGCAAAGAGACGGCAAGGGCCCGAAGTTCTGGGGGTTACTCAGCACAATGGTTGGCGACTTTTCCTTAATGACAGATGGCAGCTGCTGTCGTTCCAGCATTCGGTTTCAAAGTTGTTGGAGTGGCCTCTCATGCTTTCGCAGCTCTTTCTTCCCATGTCGTATGTTGTTTACAAATGGGAATGCGCTGAATCTGTCAATGGCTCCATCAACCTTGACATCTTCGGCCAGATGAATTAGACAATGGACATTGTATGACACTTGACGTTCCCCATAGATCCTCGTAAAAGTAGCCACAAAGTGTTTAAGCAATGCTCCAGCATATTCAGCATGCAGACAGCACAACTCGCTGTTTGCCAAAATGAAGAGCCCAGCATGCAAAGTTAAAAAGTTTTCATAGAGTTGGGGCTTCAACACCGGCTGTAATATCAATGGGCCTGTGTAAAACAAAAAGAGCCGCAACTCAACCGCCTTCCAGCGTTCAACTTCGGTCAGAGGCCGCGGTGTTCGAGAAAACTCTCGGGGAATGTGCTCTTTTAAACTTGCACTGGCATCATTCATCAGCCTGCGTTCAAGAGGGCGAACACGAGCAGTCAGCGGCCCAGACATCCAAAGCAGC